AGTGTTTTTTTTAAACATAAAATCTTGACTGATTAGAATGTTATTGTTTGCGACAGCATTTTGCTGATGGGCTGGTGAAGAAAGCATATGATAATTGGATGTATGTTATTGAATATGATGGCAAAGCTCTCTTGAACCCTAAACCGAAGAAAAAGGCTGCATTAACTAATCAAGCTGAGGCTCGTGCTCCTGCTGCATATGTACAGCGCATTTCTTCAACGAGTATGCCAGGACCATCTACAACAGGTAAGCACACAAGTGCTTAGATACAGAATTCTAAGTATTTTTGCCATTTTATTTCTGAAGTAGGAAAATATGACTTAATGTGTTGGAAAAACTGAAACATTGATTTTGGATATAAATATATACATACAAATAAAGCAAAGGGTGTATGAGATGTATGAAATATTTCATGATGTCACTCTGGAATAGAGGTTTCTCAAAACCATATGTTTTGTTTCATTCATTTCAGGCACAAATGGTTCTATAGGGTATGATGGCAACCAGACAGCAACACAGTCTGTTCAGCTTCAGAGTTCATCTGCTAATGTGCCTGTGCCATATGATGACGCCTTTTCATTTTTGCCGCATACCATGTTGATGGGGTCTAATCAGGGAACAGCAGGTGATGGCATGGGTCTGGAACTCGGCCAGTTGCATCACGCAATTTCTCAAGGCCATCCAATTCAGCCAGCAAATTTCGGCTACGATAATTGGCATCACAACCGTGATGGTCAGTATGCTGATGATTTCACTGAAGACATTCGCCTGAAAAGCCACGAACTGCTCGAGGGTGATGACATGCAGCAGCTGCTCAGGGTCTTCAATATGGGCGGAGCTTCTACTGGTTTGCCAGACGAAACGTTTTCCTTCCCTTTGCAATCTGCATTGCCAAACCCAGACTTGGAAGGTGAGCCCAGCCGTCCATCGGGCAAAGCCGTTGTCGGGTGGCTCAAGATAAAGGCTGCTATGAGATGGGGAATATTTGTCAGGAAGAAAGCTGCCGAAAGAAGGGCGCAGATTGTTGAGCTGGAGGATTAAGATCTTGGCGTGTGCTCACCGTTAGACGTTACTGTTGAAATCTCAAATACCAGCTGCTGTTGCTGCGAACTAGTTCTTTGGCTCACATATTCGTCGTGATTGCCATTGAAACTAGTTTTCTGTAAATCTACAGCGAGTAGCTCTGCTACCTTGTAAAAAAAAAATGTCGACTCGCTTCCTTGTATAATTTCAGCATAAATTCTTGTTTAGCTTGTTTCCGTTTAGCTTAATTTGTGCAGAATATTACTGTAGAAGACGGTGTGAATTGATGTTAACAGTATTATGCTTTTTTTTGGTTTGCTAAGTGCACGTACCGCGCACGGGACCACCAGAACACGAGTCTCCTCGTGCTCGGGGTGTGCCTCCATTCGGCACAACAGTATTATGCTTTTGTGGCTATTAATCGGTTGGGGTCCATAACTTCTGGGAGAACGTTTTTGTGATGCTATAAATTGTTTTGTTGGGGTGGTACACCGGCATTATGTTATTGGCCTCTTTTGTCAAGTGATCATACAGTGAGTATTTGTTGCAATCAAGTATGCCATTTATGAGAAGTTGAGCTGAAGGGACGTGGACATCTTCTAGTCGAATGGAGGGCAAGCTGGAGCACATTTCAAAAATATCAATTACTTTTTTTTTTAGAAAATGTAATCAACGAATGCCAGCTTACGGACGGAAGGTACGGAGGTACGTGTCCACACTTTTTGTTTTGACATCAGGTACGTGTCCACACCTGATTAGCCCCTACCCCCCTTGATTTTTCTTCTAAGCCTTCAACCTCAGTCCGATACCTTTCCTCCCTAATTAGTAGATGTAGCATCTCTTGTTTTTTTTTTTTTTTTGAAGTTTTTAATCATGGTTGATGTTTCAAGCTGCTATGCATCGTATTCGAGGTGGTTGACCCTTTATGCATTCTCGTTGACGCCCAAAGCTGCGAAGGCTACCCGTAACTGTAAGCAAACGCAGATGGCTACACCGGCTTTCACACCATGATCACAATCTCTGTCAATGTAGCATATAAGTTCGAGTAACGCATGTACTATTACAAGCATAAACTATGAGGGCTAGAGAGGTAAAATTGGGAACCTTGTTCAGCATGTTTTATAGCGGTGAAGCTCACACGCTACATAATTGTTTGGAGAACTACCTTCACCATGGGTGAATTCCAATATCAGTTGTACAACTTCCGTATACAAAATAGGATTCTGGATTGCTCTTCACTTCATCCAACTTATCTGGTTAATTCCAAAATAGCATCAACTTTGTTGGCTTAGTTCTGAGCCTATTTTCATATGCTCATGAGTTCGAGCTTTGAATTTTTCGTTTGTCTTTCTTCAGTTTGCTGCCTGAAACTCTGCTAATCGCAATCAGACCGTGCTTGCAGATCTATGTGATCACAATATAAAAGATCCGCAGGACAATCCCATACGGGATCCAGGTGGCACAAATCATTGTCAATACTGTTGGTGCAGTAACAATTGTAAAATTTACCATGCAGAATATGTGATGACATGGCAGAGAATAAAAGAGTAGGGAGAGCTCGCTTGTATGCTCATATGCCAGCAAGCCAAGCACATACTCTTGGTGAAAAGATATACTACCTGCACCCGGAATTACTTGACGCTGAAATAATAGCTTCAAGTAATTCCGGACAGAGGTACTATGTTTTACTCCCTCCGTCCTAAAATTCTTGTCTCAGATTTGTCTAAATATGAATGTATCAAGTCACGTTTTAGTATTAGATACATCGTATTTAGGCAAATCTAATACAAGAATTTTGGGACGGAGGGAGTATTATTTTGCCTATAGCTCAACTTAAAATACACGTGATTAGAGCAACTGTGTGGTGCATTATTGGCTGATGACATAGACACTAGTACTACCCATAATCAAGCTCACAATTTGTTGGACATGCTCTAGGCCATGACATTTTATAAAGCTGCCCCACGGTCATAAGTATCTGTCTGTAGTTATAGGTTATAGTGAAGCCCATGAAATTCAACATAATTTGGAGAGCACCTCTGTACTGTGGAGTGTCGGTTTTGGTCGTGTGGCCGGTAGAGTCGTCGACTCGTGCGGGGTGCGGCCTCAGGGCCGACGTGTGTGAATTTATGTGGTTTGTAAGCCAGAGTGGCGGCTCCGGGTCGTGTGGTGGAGCGGCAACTCTGGTCGTTTGGGCGACAGGGAAGTCGGCTCGTTAGGTTCGCAGCCTCGGGGCTGGTGTGTATCGATGTATCGGTTTTCGGCCAGTTTTCCTTACAAACTGATCAATTCTCTTCTTCTTAATGCAAAGGCAGAGCTTCTGTTGTTTCCTCGGAAAAAAAACACAATTTGGTGAGAAATTTTAAATCCCATGCATGATGGCCTCACCGCTCGCGTACTTTTGTTGTTGTTGAGGAGAACCGCTCACGTACTTTCAAGTGTTTTGCACCGCCACAGCCCCATTGATGGGAACCGATGGATCGGTGATATAAGTACGCGCGCTGGCCCAACGCTTTCCGCGCGCGCGCGGGACCAACGCCCGCTACTCCGGCTCCACAAAGATCAAACAGTTGGCCAGGCAGCCAGCTCCGCTCCGCTCCGCCACCGCAGTCCGCAGCGAGGCAGAGACCCAGCGAGCGAGGCTCGACCGGCCGCGCGAGCCGGGCGACATGGGGGCGGTGGCGAGGCTGCAGGCGGCGGTGACGTCGGACAGGGCGGAGAGCCTCCTCCGGGGCGCATGCACGGCGGCGTCTGCGGCGTCCGCGCTGCTCCTGGGCCTGAGCGCGCAGACCAAGACGGTGCTCTTCGTCCGGAAGAAGGCCGTGCCCAAGGACGTGGAGGCCCTCTGGTACGTACACGCGCGCGCGCGCCCATTCAGATGTACGACCAAGCTTTCACCACGATCCTGATCACTGATCGCTCGCCTCGGATACTCGCTGCGTGTGCCAGGGTGCTGATCGTGGCGGCGGCCGTGGCCGCAGGGTACCACGCCGCGCGGCTCCTCAAGCGGCTATACTCCGGCGGCCGCTTCGCCGGCGGCGAGGACGGCGGGAGCTGCGCCAGGGCGGTCGCGTGGGTATGTTTCCTCCTCGACAAGGTAACCAACAAACCGATTAATTCCCGCTGAATTGATTTTGCTTCCGCGAAACACAGCCGGGGGACAGCGGCAACCTGTAGCTTCAGCGTAGTTAGCTAGACCAGAGAGTCGTGGTGAGTACAGCAAGGAAGGAAGGAGGAAACAGGCCGGACGCGTGCGTGTGCTTGGCGCCCAACCGTTTCCCATTAATACGCATCGAGTGGAATTACCGTGAGCCGGCTACAACGACGGGCGGGTGCGAGCGTGGGCACTGCGCGGTCGCTTTTCGCCACGGCCAGGTAGCAGCAGGAGGACGGTAAGGGTGGATGTGGATTTTTCTGACTGTCGTTTTTGATCGGACAGCCAAACCTTGGCCAATTAAGGCTTTCTCTGTCGACCGCCGTTCCATTTCCTCTAGTACATTTCCTTTTATCGGTAGCCTTGCTTTGCAAGCACTCCATGTCGCTTTTAAGTTTCTAATTCTATCCTATCCTTGGGACATGGTTTTTCGATTTCTGATGAATCACGCCTACTCAACTGTTCCCCTGTGAAGTCCACGTCTTAGAAGATAATAATCTGGCGCGTCATGTCGGCACTGAACATGTGCACTGAACGGCGGAGAAGAGTGTCGCTGGTGTGACCTGCTCGCCATACATAATTCCGTATTACAGTACATCGTTTGATGGAGAGAGGGGGGGTCATAACTCATGCGGTTGCAACCGTAACGGGGTCGTTTCTCAAACTTAACTCGCGACGCGTAACAAGAGTCTTGATGGACTGATGGCCGCACTGCCAACGGCAACAGCAAAACACATTAAGAGCAACTTCAGTAGACGAGTCATATTGGCCCAGTCGGCATAATAATCATCAATATGAATGTTTTTTTTTTGGGGGTATCAATATGAATGTTCTGACTGAAAAACAACTCTACGAGAGCTGTCGTCCCGTTCTCGGTTGCCATTATGTAGCGTGCTCCGTATACGTCCCACAAGCCTTCATATTTGAAGGCTGGAGCGTTGAAATGGAGCGGCCTCCATCCGTCAACCGCTCGTACGGGAGGGTAGTTTCAGCTCCCTCCTCGTTCTCCCGCGTGACCCATCTCTTGATCCTGCCAATGTCGCAGACTGCAGAAGATGCCATGGCACCACAAAGTGTGTCAATTAATGGCGATCGACCCTCGTGCTAAATTCTCCTGTCCAGTAATATTAATATCACGTTTTCAACCATATTTTTCCATCATCTGCCACTCTTTTTGCACGACCAGCCGCTCGCGGCTATAAAAGGATTGTCGCCATGGACGAATAGCTCACAAGCTCCAATTCTCGTACCGATGGCCGAATAGCCCTTACCCTGCAGCCCACAATCTCCACTTCCCTCTCATCATCGCCATGCCGCTTCCTTGTCCGAGCTGCGTGCCACTCTCAAGGAGGAAGAGTGGAACGAGGCGACAGTGGAGGAGGAGGTCAACCTCATCGCCCAGGAAGTGGAGGAGGATCGCCTTTACAGGGTGGAGGCCACGAAGGAGGATCCCGCCCTCGATGAGTGGTCGGATTAGAATACGAAAATAGGCACCATCGAGTTCGACTCGCTGCTAAGGAGGCATGTGATGAGTGGTATGAGGCCTACATCTCGGCCATCTGCCCCGGCGAAATCTTCAAGCATACAGCCACTGGGAAGGTTATGTGGGTGACTACGGCGTCTGGCGCTCCATTACAAGGAGAAGCAGGCAGACTTGGCGGAGAAGAGGGAGTGCATCAGATGGTGCTCATTCAACATGAACATGGTGATATTTACCGAGACGGGTCACACCCTATTAGGCATTCCTCCACTTGAAAATGCCGCCCCCAACCTCGATGATGACTGGTAGGAACGAGATGAAGACGAGGTCCCTGGACCGGCACACTACCATGCGTAGACGATGAGGCGAGTCGTCACATATGCATGTGCTCCGTGCAGTACATTCACAATGGTCATAGTGGGGAGCAACTAGTGCTTCTTCCAAGACGTCGAAGCTTATCAGTTTTGTACAAAAATCTCATCGAAATACATTACAACCAACTCCATTAAGAATGCATCATGTGTATATATTGACATATGCAACCGAGAAAACATGATGGAATCAAAACATGGAATTTATGTGAAGGTAACTATTTTATAAAATGTTATGTGAGCAATTACGCAATTAGGGGGGTAACAAGTGCAAGACTAATTACAAGATGTATGGCCTGCTTTAAATTTTGATAAAGATCAACAATACTTGTGTTTAGTACTCCAAACGAATTTCAGAAATAAACATTGAACCGGAGATTTGTCTCCGTTGGATCTCGTGGGATTCGATCGACGTTTATCTTCGGTGGATCCACCTGGATCCGGTAGTTGTTCGTGTGTTTATCGGTTGAATCCTTCCAATCTAAACTTCTCTTTAATGGTGACGGTTGCTGTTTTGGTGCATTTGTTCTAGTGTCTTAGCACGATAACTCCTTGACCGTCTACTACAACAAGTTTTGCCCGGCTCCAGTGAAAGAGGGGCAATGATGGCGACGTGCCTTCGGCTCGCTTCAAGGCTTGCAGTCGTCGCAAGGTGGTCTACGGATCTGGATCTAATTTTTATTATTTCTAGTATTCGTTGCACTATCATAATTGATGATGAATAGATTAAAAGTTAAGAAAAAACCAAAATAAACATCGAACCGACAACTAGGCCTGGTGTGACTTTTTTTGGCTCAAAATGGAGTTGTAAAAAAGGAAGTGTATTTTCTTTTTAGGGAAGGAAAGTGTATGTTGTTGACACATGTATAATTTAACTTTGCAGGGGTGTGCGTACGTGGTGTTCGCGAGCGCCGTTGCGGCGCTGCAGGCATGCTTCGTGGCGCTGATGGGCGTGGAGCCCCTGCAGTGGAGCAGGCTCTGCAACATCTACACCCGCTTCTGTGTGCAGGGCGCCTTCGGCATGGTTTGTGGCCTCGCGGCCGCCGTCGGCATGGCCGTCCTCTCCGTCTTCTCCGCGCGCGACCTCTTCCGGCTCTACTCGTCGGCTGGGCGCAGGCAGGCGCGGCTGAGATCGGAATCAAGTCAGACAGGCCTCATGATGAGTAGAAATGAGATGGCCAGAGAAAGCGCGGGAGATGATTAGGCTCCTTCAAAAATTCTCATCGCCTTGCTGTTAGTAGGTCGCAAGGTCTGACAATGCAACCTGCAAGATTATATATAAATACAAAAAGTGAAGTTGGATCATTTTAGAGCAGGCAAAGAAAATTAAGTGACGACTGTTTCTACGTATTCGTGATCATTTATATAGTCGTTTTTGGGGAAGAAAATATGATGGGGGGCAAATTTCTTTTGATTGTGAGCAAATAGAATTGCTTGGATTGTTTAATTAAGTTCAACTTCAAACTTATAGAAATTTTTGCAAAAGAGAAAAAAATGAATTCCTCCATTGAAGTTATTTTATTTTATTTTTAGGCTAGTTGAATAGGTTTGATTAAGGTTTTATTAGTGATGGAGGGTGTAACTCTAGAGGCCGATCTTTCACGATTTGAAGGGGATCCCACGAAGAACACACGAGAGGGAAAATGAGAGAAAACACTCAAATCAACGAGATTCGATTACACATGTACTAGACCCAAGTACACAATGAGACACACGGTTCAAACACAACAAAGGACAATACAAACGGTCGGTAGTTCTTCCCAATCCGTGAGGAGATGGGGGCTTGAATCCGTGAGAATATTTAGAAAGACCTTTGCATTCCTTGCGTCCCATATCTTCCAAAGAATGAGCATGAGGATGAAGCTCCAAATTGCTCGTTTAGAGGCCAAATGTGCGGTCCATTCCCACAGGTGATCGACTAATGGTGCTGGAGAGATCCCTAGGAGTAGTGTCACACCTTGTGTTTTGCATAACTCCACTAAAGATAATAACGGTCATTAGTTACTATCATAAAAAAAATCATGAGATAATATTGCTTTGTTTATTTCAAGTGTTTATTTTAATTGTTTTATTGGGTGTTTTTTAATTTAATTCACAGAAAACCCTATAGACATCCTCTTCCAATCATCTGGCCAAACTCTTCCCAATGACCATACCATGTGGGTAAACCCAAAAAAATATACAAATTTATTTTGGCTAGAAAAACAATGAAACCCATTTTCTCTTTCAAAACCATAAAATAGAGCTTTCAACTAAAAGTGTTTATTTCCAACACAAAAGTGTATTCAAAATAATTTCTGAGGTGTACCATGTATAAGACCACTATTCTCTTAAAAAATATTAAGTTGAAAGTTATTTAAGCATTTATTTTAAATTGCTTTTTCTAAAGGCCGATGTATTTTAAATAGAAATAAATACGTATGTTGTTTTAAAATTTCTAAACAAATTACTCAACCCTATTTGGACCATTTTGGGTCGCCGCATAAAATTTACACTACATTGTCATGTGCATCATCTTGCCCAAAACATCATAAATCGGATTCTGTCAATTTCTAGGATTTGAAATGTTTCAACATTCAAATTCCTTTGAAAATTCCCATAAAATTTCCCTAACATGATTTTCAATCTATCTTCACCCCAATCAAGTTTCACTGACCATATCATTGTCGAAATATGGTAAAATTGAAAAAAAAAATCACCTTCCACAGTAATGGATTTTACTGTTTGGACCACTTAATCATCTCCAAATGACCCCAAATTTTTACCATAGCATCCTCTCATCCCCTACCTTACTCCAACTACTTTGCCTTGGCCAACCTCAATGACTTGAAGGGTAAAACCCACAAGTCCACCCCCATGGCAACCCCACTACTTTCCCCCCATTTCTTTTATCCAACACGCCTTGTAGCTCCTCTATCCTCTAGTGTATATTCTAAGCCCCATGGACACAAGTGGCCGCACCCCCACTCTTTAATTTGGCAAGGCCGGCCAAACTCTGTGCTCTGGATGCGCTACAGTGCGCTCCAGCACTGTGATAACTCACAAGTATATATATGGGGTCAATTGTAGCCTTTTCGATAAGTAAGAGTGTCAAACCCAACGAGGAGCAGAAGGAAATGACAAGTGGTTTTCAACAAGGTAATGTCTGTAAGTGCTAAAATTGTTAGTAGCGAAGTAGTTTGATAGCAAGATAATTTGTAATGAGCAAGTAACGATAGTAGTAACAAAAGTGCAGCAAGGTAGCCCAATCCTTTTGAGGCAAAGAACAGGCCAAATGGTCTCTTATGATAAGCAAAGTGTTCTTGAGGGTACACGGGAATTTTATCTAGTCACTTTCATCATGTTGGCTTAATTCATGTTCGCTACTTTGATAATTTGATATGTGGGTGGACCGGTGCTTAGGTGTTGTTCTTACTTGAACAAACCTCCTACTTACGATTAACCCTCTCGCAAGCATCCGCAACTACGAGAAAAGCATTAAGAATAAATTCTAACCATAGCATTAAACTTTTGGATCCAATCGGTCCTTTACGGAGTAGCGCATAAACTAGGGTTTAAACTTCTGTCACTCTCGTAACCCATCATCTAATAACTACTCCACAATGAATTTCTTTAGGCACAAATATGGTGAAGTGTCATGTCGACGTTCACATAACACCACTAAGGGAATCACAACATACATATTATCAAAATATCAAACACATATCAAGTTCACATGATTACTTGCAACATGATTTCCCCCGCGACCACAAGAACAAAGTAACTACTCACAAATGATAATCATGCTCAAGATCAGAGGGGTATTAAATAGCATAATGGATCTGAACATATAATCTTCCACCAAATAAACCATATAGTAATCAACTACAAGATGTAATCAACACTACTAGTCACCCACAAGCACCAATCTATAGTTCCGGTACAAAGACTAAACACAAGAGATGAACTAGGGTTTGAGAGGAGTTGGTGATGTCGAAGATGTTGATCAAGATAGCCTCCCCCAAGATGGGAGACTTGTTGGTGATGATGATGACGATGATTTCCCCCTTTGGGAGGGAAGTTCCCCCGGCGGAATCGCTCCGCCGGAGGGCAAACATGCTCCTGCCTAGGTTCCACCTCGAGACGATGGTGCTTCGTCCCGAAAGTCCTCTCCTTATTTTTTTCTAGGTCAAAATTACTTATATACTAGAAGAGGGGCACCGGAGGTGGGCCTGGGTGAGCACAACCCACCAGGGCGCGCCTGGGCTCCCTGGCGTG